AAAGTACAGTTTGTTTTTCATAGATCACAACCTTTGCTTGGGAAGTGGCGTCTGCACCGTTTATAAATGAGACCCCAGATCCACAAAGCCCACTCCTGTCTGAACAGAGGTGATTTCCCTGACCTATTCAAACAAATGTGCAGATTTCTTGTGTGTTTAAGCTTCATAACCATGAGAAAAGGTATTGTCACAACATATTATACAAAAAAAGAGCTCGTCCCGAGGTGATCAGCAGGCTCGTCACGTCTTGTTGGATCAGTCTCAGCAGCAGAAAGCCAGATTCTTTGACGCCATTCGTTTTTTCGTGCATCTGCTGTCAAAAATCAATCAACACATTTCCATAAACGACATGACGAAGCTGCTCTCATTCAAAAAAACTGCTTCAAAACAATGAACGATGATTACGGTCAAGAAGTGAAGGAAGCTTTGTCTCCTCCTCACTGCATTACACATTTCTGATTCGGACAAATTGATGATCTTCAGCAGATCTGTAAGATCAGTACGACTGAGCTCAGTGATTCTGCGAGAACTGTTTAATACGTGAGTGCAAAAGGTGCGTAGATTGAATGCAGATGTAGGAATAGCCGCGGGTCTAAAGGTTGGAAACCGGGCTTGTGACTGAGAGAGTTTAGCTCTCAGTTTCGTTTCCCTCTGTATTTAAAAAGGTTTTAAAATAAGGAAGCAGCAGCCACCTCTTGTGTCTCTTTGGGCAGGTGGAGGCCGTTTCTCTTCCCCAGTTTGATCACTCGCTCCATGTAACGCTTGGACTCTGCGGTGAGGCTGTCGGGGTCGACCTTCTTCTGCAGACAGAAACAAAAACAACAAGAAACCTTAGGAACCCAGCAAGAAGTGAAACAGGTCCAAATGGCATCAGAGTGGCTGCAGATCGTGGACTCCGGTGAGGTGATGCAACTGAAAAAGACAACACTGGTACTGTCTGAACACATTTGGAGGAAGTTTGAAATATACCACTAGAAGGCTTTGCATGGTCTCACGCTGCCATCTAGTGTCCATTCAGTGTCAAGTCAAGTCTTATTTAAAGTGGAAAAATCACCAAAAGACATGGTCCCAATACACTTTACAAAATGCATTGAAATTAAATCAAATTAACCATAAAATACAGATTGTACGTAAAAAAAATTTTTATAAACACATAATAAAATACAATCAGAATAAAATCAACTAAATAAAATTATAAAAGGATCAAATTTAATAATAATTTAAAGTTTGCTCAACCCTCTCCAAACTAAAGGCTTTATTAAAACAGAAAAGTCTTAACCACTTGGTACCTGGCACCTACTTCCAGGAAAAGCTAAAATAACAAACCTAAATAAATCAGTAATATCTCCTCAACCATCAGGCCTAGATGCATAATTCTGGTCTCCTTTGAAAGGTCAGAAGCTGAGGAATATAAATCCATTGTACATTAACATATTATTTTACCATTACAGACTACATGGAGATGCAATACAGAAAAAATCTGATATTTTCATCCTCGCCTGGTAAAAAAAGCTCTATTTTAATGCAATAAACCATCAAAACCATCATGAGGTAGATTATAATGCACCTGAATAACTTCTAATCCACCTGGAATAAAACTGTAACTGTAAATCTGATGAAAAGAAACTGATATACAACAGTTATTACACAATCTTTCAAAAATACACCAGGCGAATGTCCATGTTTTGGCCATATTTACTGTTTATATGTTCACTTTTATTGGGAGTTATCTTCAAAACATTATTTCTCTCCACACAACCACGTTCCAAATAACATAAAGCTTCCAAAAATTGAAATATTGATAAAAACAGTCAATATTCCTGTGACCAAAAGCACTCCCACGCTTTACAGGCCACAGCTTGAGAACAGAACATCCTACAGGGCTGTGAGTGGGCTCGTTCTCTCTCCTGAAGAGACGAATCGATTGATATCCTGCAGGTCTCTGCAGCTCCTGCGGGTCGCCAGCAGAGGCCGATAAAGACCGTCTCCGCCAAAGCAAACTCTTCTTTTCTACTTCAATCTGACGACAGAAACGAAACTTATCGGCTCAGCCGACCTCAGCAAGATGGCGGCCCGCCAGACAGTCTCTGTTGACACAAAGGACCGCTGTTCTTGGACGGAAAACCGCTAGAACGGATAACATCACCACCAGATTCCCGCACCCAAATGAGTGGAGGCGCTTGTTAACTAAATGCTCTCTGTCCCACTCTAACCTTAAGTCACATTAGGCACCACATTTTGAGAGCGCCGTGTTTTATTGGGGCAGTAA